GCAATTTTCAACGATATTTCAGATGGGCTATGGCGGTTGGAATTCCGACGGAAATCAAACTGAATTCCCACAGCAACGACCCCAACAAAACTCGTTTTTTTCTCATCACATTATATACGGTTTCCAGCATAAGAAAAATATTTGCTTCAGGTCAAACTTTTTGTGTTTTTGTTCGATATAATTGATCAAAATGGTGAATATAGAACTGATTAGTTTTAATAATTGTAGGTTGCTTAATTTAGCTAAGAAACTGACGTGGAGGGACTTATATGAATCTTCGCCGGCGTAATAAATTTCAAGTCGGCACCAGAATTTGTATAAGTATATTAGTACGATATGTTTTATATGTAAAGGTAAAAAGGGTTGACCAATATTGCTTCTCTTTACTGGTCAACACATACCAACAATGTGCCCAATTTATCTCTTCTCTCCTTTCTGCATCGTCTCCTTTAAAATAATAGGTGTAATTATTTTAAGGTATACAAATTCTTATATGAACATTGATTTTGTAATGAGTAGGAGCTTGGACTTGGAGTCGGTGCGGTGCTATTTGAGAAATACCACATTTCATATTTATAAAGACTTTAGCAGTCTGGTTCGATTTATATACTTTCCAAGTCGATATATTAAGTGTTATTAGGTTCTTCACACTTGCTTATAAACCTCCACTCAACATATAATGTATGTTTGAAAATTAAAACGTTAACCCATTGGTTATGATCCAAAAAAACGTTACTCATTCGTCATAATTAACCAATTTTTCCTGCTTTCTAACATACTCATTGGTTATGATCCAAATGATTTTTGTACCAAATAAATGGCGACCGTCTGCTACAATACCATTTGAAAGACAACTCAAATTGACCGCCAATTCGCACAACAAAATTCATTACAAGTGGACATTGTTTTAGACGTTGTGTCGAATCGATGAAAATCTTACTTTTCTAAGTGATCAATTACCAAAGTACTTAATAGGAACAAGTAGAAGCTCACTTCTCCTGCTCATAGTAAGTGAAACGACCCGACCCAAAAATTTAAAAATTTCCCTTCAGATTATTATCATCACAGATAATAATCCTCAATTGGATCAATACAACATGCGAAAACATAAAACAATTAAACCAACTCAATCAATTCAATAATCTCATACTTATTAAATCTAACCGGTTCAATTCAACAATCCAAACAATAACCAATAACCAATTAACTACGACTCAGGATTCACTAGCAACCTAGCAATTCTACAACAGCACACAGC